GGGGGGGGGGGGGGGGGGGGGGGGGGGGGGGGGGGGGGGGCCCATGTGAAGGCCACGGCCCCGCCCAGGAGCTCTCAGGAGCCTGCCTTACCTGTGCCTGCCCTCACCTCGGTAGTTGTGTCTCGTCTTCTTTGTGTCCCTAGATACCAGGAATGGTACCGCCCATGCTGCCAGGGATGCTGATGCCAGCGGTGCCTGTCACCGCAGCGGTAAGCACTGGGGGCCGGCAGGAAGCAGGCCGTGCCCTGCAGCCCTGCGGGTCTGACTTGGAGCACGGGGATCCGGCCTCCGTTCTTTCCCTCTTCTCATCCATCCATCCCGGGCCCGGCCGCACTCCCCACACTCAAGTCCTTCTCTCTGGCCACGTACTCTGCTCTTTTCATTTCTCACTTACCCCCAAAGGCATGTTACTCTCTCGTTACTCCTTTTTGTGCCCAGCTCCCGTAAGGAACACACTCGTGGCTGACACGCTTCCCCTCACAGAGCTAGCACTGTGGACACTTGAATACAGGCCCTCCTCACATCTTCTTTGTCGCTGGCGGAAGCAACAGCACCTGGGGATCTCACTGTACCTTCTTGTGCCATTGCTCAGTGTAGTAGAGTCTGGGTAGGATGTAGCAGTTGGCATCCACTATGGAAGAGGGGCCTCGGAGGTTGACTGAACAAAATACTCTCACTTGAGGAAAACGAAGAACAGAGCTGCTATGCGGTTCCCCCTAGGATCCTACAGCCACGGCCCCAGAGGGTGGGGGATGCCTGTTAGGGAGCAGAGGTCCCTGGGAGCAGGACACATGGATCCTGGCCTGGCCTGCTTCTTCATCCCCCATGGCCTGGGTCCTGGGGGCCACTGGGCTTGGCCCCAACCCTTCCCCCTCCTCTTTCTTCGGCAGACGGCTCCGGGTGCGGACACAGCCAGCTGTGAGTCTTCTGGGGGTCTACTCCCCCCAGGCTCGGAGGTTGGGGGGGTACAGGGGAGAGGGGACCGTGGACTAGAGCCCACCCTGGATCATGCCTGTTGGGATGCCAGGGAGCCTGGGATGTTGATGGGACCAGGGGATGTTTATTGGGGACGGAGTAGGGGAGGAATAGGTGGGATAAGATGCATGTCGCGGCAAGGCCTTAATATTTCTCTTGGCTTCTTTTCCAGCTGCTGTGGCTGGGACAGGCCCTCCGGTGAGTTCTTCCAGCCCAGGGGTCTCTGGGTAGAAAAGCTGAAAGGTGGGGGGCTGATGGTTAAACCTCTGGGGTAAGGAGGAGAAGCTTTGGGGATGGGGCCTTGACCACCATTCTCGGCCCTCCCTCCCCCCAGAGGGCCCTGTGGAGTGAGCATGTGGCCCCTGACGGGCGCGTCTACTACTACAATGCAGACGACAAGCAGTCCGTGTGGGAGAAGCCCAGCGTGCTCAAGTCCAAGGCAGAGGTCCTGAGCGGGGCTTTCTGGCCCTTCCTTTCAGCTTCCCTGACCCTCCCAAGTCCTTGGCCTCCCGAGTGTTTACCCATACACACGGTTCCTCTGATCCCAAGATCCCTGACCATTCCGCCAGCCTCCCTGGGATCTCAGGAAGTCTGCCTTCCCCCATGTTGAGCCAGGCCAGGTGGTAGCCAAAAACTCCCGACTTGCTGGATCCCCTCAGCTCCCCCGACTGTAGCGAGAGGGCATGCCCAGCCCCCCTGATGTCCTCTGACCCGTCCTCTTGTAGTTGCTGCTGTCCCAGTGTCCCTGGAAAGAGTACAAGTCCGACACAGGCAAACCTTACTACTATAACAACCAGAGTAAGGAGTCTCGCTGGACCCGGCCCAAGGACCTGGATGACCTGGAGGGTGAGGAGGGGGTGGGGCCTGGGCTGCGGTGCTGGGGGGTGGCCCTCGCCACCCTGTGACCATGTCATGTTTTCCCCTTGCAGCTCTAGTCAAACAAGAGGCTGCAGGGTGAGTGACTTGCGCACCTACCCCCTGTACTTGGGGCCGCCAGACGGGTGGGAGTGGACCCTCTCTCTGTGGTCCCTGCTCTGTGGAAGAGCCAGCTCTCAGTCTCGTTGTGGAGTGGCCCGCTCGGGCCCCAGTCCGTCGCAGGCCCCTCTGACTGGCCCTCTCTCTGCCGCACGCCTGGACCCCGCCCTCCCGGCCCGCCTGCAGGAAGCAGCCCCAGCCCCAGATACTGCAGCCGCAGCCACCTCAGCCCCAGCCTGAGCCCCCGCCCGGGCCGCCTGGCCCCACCCCCATGCCCCTGGGCCTTCTAGAGCCTGAGCCAGGTGGGAGTGAAGATTGTGATACGTCAGAGGCTGCCCAGCCTGTGGAGCAGGGGTTTCTGCAGCAGCCGGAGGAGGGCCCCAGCAGGTGAGGGCTGCTCCCCTGAGGCATTCCAGAGGCTGGCTTCAAGCTCCCAGCCTAGTTCAACCCTTGATTTCTGCCAGGCCTCTTGGGAAGGGTGTGAAGATCTGGGGCATGGCCTCTGGAGGGCAGAGAAGGGCTGCTTTGGGGAGCGAGGAGAGAGGGTGGCGTACTCCTGACCACATAGGGCACTCAAAGCTGTGGGGCCTGGGAGATGCTGTGGCTGAGTTCCCTTTGCCCCCCAGTGCTGCTGGACAGCATCAGCCACCACAGCAGGAGGAAGAGGAATCAAAGCCAGAACCAGAGAGGTCTGGCCTCAGTTGGAGCAACCGGGAGAAGGCAAAGCAGGCCTTCAAGGAGCTGCTGAGGGACAAGGTGCGGGGGTGGGGTGCCCAGGGTAGGCCCGGAGGGGGCTGGAGGTGGGCAGGCCCCATGACCCCTGCCTGCTCCATTCTAGGCTGTCCCCTCCAATGCCTCGTGGGAACAGGCCATGAAGATGGTGGTCACCGACCCCCGTTACAGGTAGGCCTGGGCAGAGGGAGCCAGGCCCTCCAGACTGTGAGCAGCTGGGCCAGGGCCTCCCTGAGAAGCCCCAGCTCAACACTCAGGCCCCAACAGGGCCCGAGTCAGGAGAATGGTAGAAGGGCCAGGGAAAGAGAAGCTGGAGGGCCTCCAGGAGGAGGAGGGGAAAGGTATCTGACATGAGACGTTCAATAAATGCTTGTTGAACTGAATTGATTCGAATTGAGTTAATTGGGGTGAGGGGGCTGGATAGGGTGGAGGCCTGAATGCACTTTTGAGAGCCTCAGAGCAAAAGGGCTGTTAGTGTCTTGGAGCCCCGTCTTCCCTCACTGCCTCCCATCCCTCCCCTCATCCCAGAGACCCGTCTTGCCTCCCTGCAAGCCTGCTGTGCCCATGCATGGACCCCGCACTCAGTTCTGTGTGCTGTGACCCTCCTTGGCGGGCTGTGCAGGGTGCCTCCTCCACCCGCACCCCACTCCCACCCTTTCCACCCCAGTGCCTTGCCCAAGCTGAGTGAGAAAAAGCAGGCATTCAATGCCTACAAGGCGCAGCGGGAGAAGGAGGAGAAGGAGGAGGCCCGGCTAAGGGCCAAGGAGGCCAAGCAGACCTTGCAGCATTTCCTGGAGCAGCACGAACGCATGACCTCTACCACCCGCTACCGGTCAGGGGGCCAGGCTGGGGTGGGGGCCGGGAACCCGGAGAACACACGGGCCCGGGGTCTCTGTCCCCTGCCTGCCTACCCACGGCCCATATGCTCCACAGGCGGGCCGAACAGACCTTTGGGGAGCTGGAGGTGTGGGCTGTGGTCCCTGAGAGGGATCGAAAAGAGGTTTATGATGATGTCCTCTTCTTCCTGGCCAAGAAGGAGAAGGTAACAGTCATTGGCTGGATCTGTCAGCCTGCCTTACTTGAGGCTTTTCTGTCTTTGCATCCTTGTGGACCCTGGCCATTCATTTCCCCACTTGCCCCAGGGTCTCAGCTCCTTCCTCGGAAGCTGGTGTGGCACTTGCACATCCCCCCACTTCTGCTTGGGACCTACAGCCTGGGTGTGGGAGGGCAGGAGGGCATCTGTGAGGGGTTGATCTGTAACCTGTGCTCCTCCCCCTTTCAGGGGACGCGGAAGTCTTGAGTGTGGCCCTCCTAGGGTTCCCTAGCTGCCTGCTTTTCCCCAAATGCTCCTCTGCCCAGGCCCACTTGAGTAGCTCTGACCTGCCCTACCTCACCCTGACCCTGACGCTGTGGCTCCCCAGGAACAGGCCAAGCAGCTCCGGCGCCGCAACATCCAGGCCCTGAAGAGTATCCTGGATGGGATGAGTAGTGTCAACTTCCAAACTACATGGTCCCAGGCTCAGCAGTACCTCATGGATAACCCCAGCTTTGCTCAGGACCACCAGCTGCAGAGTAAGCTTGGGTCTCCACTCCCGCCTGTCCCTTCCCCCTTTCCTCACTGACCTGGGACCCCAGAGCCTGCCTCCTATTGGTCCCCTACACTGCCTGCCCTCCTGGATGTCCAGGGGTCCTCAGCATTCGCCCCGTCCCTGCATCTCTCCAGAGTCTGGAGATGCTGGAATGCTGGGACAACCCCCTCCCTCCCTCTGGGGTCCGCTGTTGACCTGGACATCGTGTGTCCTTGGAGGAAGAGCTCTAGGATAGGCGTCAGAAGACCAGGAGAGGATGATTTTTCCAACTCCTGTGAATATGGTCTTAAACTGTCGTGGTGCTGTGGCCCTTAACTGGTCACATGTTGTTACGGTGAGCTGTTCTTGGCCTGCAGTCATTGGCAATATCAGAAATACACCTTCTGAACTTGCATCAAAGCCTGATTGATTCCCAGTTCCATAAAACATAAGACCTCAGATCCCGAGATTGCTGGTTTCATGTGATTACTTCCAGTAACTGAATTCCCAAGAGCTGAATGCGTGCTGATTTTGCTCTCATACGTTAATGAACCCTCCTCCAGAACCACCATTCCAGTCTCCTCTCCCACAGAGGTCTCTGCTCCTCTTGCCCCACCACCCTGGGTGACCCGGTGCCTACTGAGGCAGCACCCTCGAACACGGGGCTGGGGGGAGGTTGCCGGGGTCGGTGAGGGTGTGCCACGGGTGCGGTGCCCGCTGAGCCTTCTCCCTATGCTTAGATATGGACAAGGAAGATGCACTGATCTGCTTCGAGGAGCATATCCGAGCTTTGGAGAGGGAGGAGGAGGAGGAGCGGGAGCGGGCCCGCCTTCGGGAGCGGCGTCAGCAACGCAAGAACCGGGAGGCCTTCCAGGTATGTCTGCCGCCCGCTGGATAGGCGCTCAGCTCCGCCCCGGCCCGTAACCTCTTTGCCCATGCCCTGCCTCCTCTCGGCTAGGCCCGCTGTTTCGTCTCTGCCCGGTCCTGTGTGCCACCCCTGCAAGGCCGCTGTCCGCTCCTGCTGTGTGCCCTCAACCTGGGGCCATGCTCCGCTAGGGAGACTAGATGTATGCACCACCCAGAAACTGCCAGCAGAGAGCACCCGAAAGGCACCGCCTGTAGCTCGGCCCAGTTCATTTCCCTTTGGTGGGGAGCCAGATGGGCAGACTAGCTTGTCCCACAGCTTGGAGGCGGCGGCGGCGGTGGTAGTGGTGGGGGTTCCTTAGCTCTAACACTTTGGGAAGCTGAGAGCAAACCGCGGGAAGGGCACGTTGCAGTAAGGTTTCTGTTTCTCTGCCTCCCAGCCCGGCTGCCCGTCACGTTCGAGTCGGCCCCTGTCTATATTTACATTCTCTCTGTTTCCACTGCTCTCTGCCTCCTTTGCCTGCATTTTCTCAATCTGGGTTGTCCCGGCCTCTCCCTCCCATCCCCTCTCTTCCTCCCCAGTCTCTGGCTCTGCCTGTCTCTCTGGCTCACTCTCCCTATAACTGGCCTCTCTCTGCTCAGACCTTCCTGGACGAGCTGCACGAGACAGGGCAGCTGCACTCTATGTCCACCTGGATGGAGCTGTACCCAGCGGTCAGCACTGATGTCCGCTTTGCCAACATGCTGGGCCAGCCGGGTAAGGCAGCCAGGCTCCCCCTGCTCTGTCCTGGCTTCCTGCCCTGCCAGCCTCTCTGCACCCCCCACTCCCTCGACCTGTCCTCGACCCCTCCCCCAGGCCTCGGGAAGCTGCCGCCCGCCAGGCCCCCCTCCCTCCCTCCCCTGCAGGCTCCACCCCTCTGGACTTGTTCAAGTTCTATGTGGAGGAGTTGAAGGCACGATTCCATGATGAGAAGAAGATCATTAAGGACATCCTTAAGGTGAGGGAGGCCCAGGGCTGTGGCTGGAGGCAGACTGGGTACAGGGCGCCTTTCTGGACAGGACTCCCTGATAAGTCCTGTATTGCAGGAGCAGCATAGCTCCGTTCAGCAGACATCTCCTGTGATCCCTGACTGTGCGCTGGGGACACAGAAATAAGAAAGATGCAGTTTCTGTCCATAAGGAGCTCATGGCCTAGTAGGAAGATAAACATGACACCTATTCTACAGAGGGGCAAGTGCTGTTAGAGACGAGAGTCGACAGAATTGACCTTTGTGCTACGCCTTTAAGAACGAGTAGGTGGATGAGGCTGGTGGTTCCTGGGCATAGGGTATTACAGGAGCGGAGGCAAGGGAGTGGGAAGGGCCTGGCAGGCTTGAGGAGCAAGGGGTCCAGCTCATCATAAGCCAGCAGCTCACAGATATGTTCCTTCTGGCCTGTACAGTGTTTTAGAAACATTTCAACTTTGTTGCTAACATTTTAAAATTGGGAGATTATACAGAAAAACTTCTCTTAAAAATACAGATTATCTAGCAGCACTGCACTGGTTTTGCAAGGTGTTCAGTGGCCTCAGGCTGAGAGGCCATTGCTTTTTAGAAGGGGCATGCCATCTTTAACCTCCCGCTCCTGCCACCCCTCTGGCGTGGCAGCCACTTACGCTGCGCGCACACCTTGCTTGTCTTACACCAGAGAGACAGTTCTCAACGTCTGTGTCCAGCAAAGGTGGAAAAGGGATTGCTGCCCTAAGAGAGCCTTGTGTTTCAGGAGGAAAAACAGAGAGAAAGCATATTTCTTGGTGGAAGTTCAGGACGTGCAAAGGCGCTGGGGAGGCGGTACGCCCAGCAGTTAGGCGTAGCACTGTGGAGGCGGACTGCTTGGGCCACAAGTCCAGCTTACCACTTACTAGTTGGGTGACCTCCAGCAGACTATTTAACCTTTCTGAGCCTCAGTTTCCTCATCTGAAAAATGGGGGATTTTCCACCAATGTACACCTAATTACCAAGGGCGGTAACTTGGGACCTGGGGCGAGAAGGGTCTGAGAATAAATTAGGAATATCCCACTGCACACACAGCATTTCTTTGAAGTCCTGTGTTTTGCTTTGCAGATACAGGTGTTCTAATTTCATACCATATTACTTCTCTGTTTAATATAAACGTAATGTTTTAAAAGCCCTTACCATTAGGTAAGACATGCCCTATTGTCCTGTGGCTTCCTGTTTCTCTGGAACCTGAAGCTCCAGTTGGGAAGGAGAGCCCTGGGTGTAAAATGCCTTGAATGCTAAAATAAGAAATTTGGGTTTTTATCTTGTAAGTAATGGGGAGCCAGGGAATGATAGGGTCAGAGGATGTCCTGGAAGAGCCATGGGGGAAGAGTGTAGAGTAGCACTTCTCAGACCGAGTGCTTGTGTCCTTAGGGATAGGTGGTGGGAGGACAGTATTTGAAGCCTCGGGACACTGAAAAGTCACAGTGGCAAGTGATCCCACCAGATCTGGAGCTTGAGCCGCCCTCTTCCGCCTCACCCCCAGGTCCCCCCCCTGCTGTTAGGGCCCTTCGGTAGGAAAGTCGGAGCAATACAGGACTTTGGAGTACAGGTTAGAGCATGGGAGGTGAAAAGGGAGGCCAGTTGGGCGGTAGTCCAGGTGGTAAACGAGCTCAACAGAGGCAGCAGGGATAGCAGATGAGGGAGAGCTGGGCTCCAGCTCTGTTTTTCTGAGGCCCCCGCCCCCACCCCTGGGTTTCCTCAGGGGTGCCTTGGGACAAGAAAGGGGGGTGGAGTTTGTGCTTCTTCCTCTGTTTTTAAGTACAGCAGTTTTACTTTTGTATATTGAGGTTCGGCATAAGATTTTTGTGAGGACAAAAATGTTTCTGCTGTTCAAAAAAGAGAAGTTTAAAATCAGGAGGATGGAGTCACTCAGAAGTTGAGTGGACAGATTTTTTGCATGTGAAATGGAGGGCAAGGAAGGAGTGAGTTGAAATTGGCAGAGGTGGGGCGATGGTATCATTGGTGAGGATTCGGTAGGAACAGGGCTGGAGAAAATAGGAATTCCATTTGGGGAATCAGTCTCAAAAGTAACCTGGGGCAGGGAGGAATAAAGCAAAAACCACATTTTAAATAGGGTATTCTTGTATAAATATCTAATTCTAGGAGAGCTACGTTTTATTGGATGCTTACACTTTGGCCACAGTATGTGGCGGGTCCTGCCGACAGGCCTATAGGAGTCCCATCCTCGCTGTGTCCTGTCTCTCCACATCTCCTGCAAAAGAAGCTTCTTTAGACAGCTCCCTCACCTCTTCCCCCTTTTGGGCTCCTGCCTACAGAAGGCCGATGAACCCAGGAGTCCCTGTGGCCATCCACTAGCCTGGCAGACTGTGAGGGCACCTCTCACCCCATAGGATAATGCAAACAGCCTTGGACTTGGAAGAGCTGGAAGCCAGAAGATCTGGGCCTGGGAGATCCATGGGCGTGGGGAGAGGGGTGGCTCACAGAGAATGAATTCTCTTGGGCTCTGCTGAATTTGAAGTCTCTGTGAAACATCCAGTCTCTTAAGGGTCTGAAAATCAGGAGGGAGGTGTAGGGGCTGAGGTAGCTAGGGGTAGTGCAGATTGAAAAGCCCACGTGCTGTTCTCGGGGACAAGCGCAGGCAAGAGAGGCAGTAAAAGAGCTCAGAGAGACCAGAGGGCAGTTGGTGACGGGAGCAGCGCACGTACAAGGACCCGTCAGGCGAGGACCGAGAAGGGGCCCTTGGAGTCGTTTCTGAGGACATGCGCACTTTTCGGAAAGTAGTGTCCGTAAAGAGGGCAGAGTAGTATAGCTCAGACCTCGGAGTCAGGTAACACCTGGCTGTATGTTGGTTGAGGCCTCTGCAAGGCGTATAAAGTCTGAGCCTCAGTTTCCTCTTCTGTAGAATAGGGATCATTTATGTGCACGGTTGTGGGAAGGGCTGATATTCGTGAAGTGCCTGGCTTGTAGTAGACTCACTAAATGTCGATTCGTTTTCCTCTGTGCTGCATTTGAAGATTTTGAACCAGAGGGCAAACAGCACAGGTTGTTAGCTTGAGGAAGGTAAGAGCCGGGTGGACAGGTTGTTCCCGGTGAGGTGAGGTACGAGCTTGATGGAAGCAAGCGGTGGAGAGATGGGATTGAAGCCTTTCACTTCGCTGAGGGAGATTGGGACGGTTGAGAAGGCCTGGGGCGTGGGTTGAGGAAGTGCTCTAGGAATAGACAAGAGCATATTCTCCATATTGCCCACCTGAAAACTAATACAACGCTGTATGTTAATAACCGGAAGTACAATAAGAACTTAAAAAAAAAACCACAGTCTGCCATGGGCGGAAGGCCGCAGCAAGTTCGTGCTGTGCGGAGGGAGGAGAAGGGGACTGGGCCTGTGTCCCCACTGACTCAAACTCCAGCGGCTCCACTTCTCACCAGATCCACTTGGGCCCAGTGAGAGAACTCTCCTAAGCCTCTGCTTTATTGAGGTGTTGGGAGGCATAGATGAGCAGCTTGGAGCCTGGCTTCTCGATGAGAAGCTTCAGGGGCAGGGGCGTATTTTTAATAGTATTCTGGAGTTGCACATGTGATGGCCTCACATTCCCCTGAGGACTGAGTGATCTGTGTGGCTGTAGGGCTTTAAACTATGGGCTTTGGTGTTAGAAGGACCCGGCTCAGCAGAGACCCCAGTGGCCTCCTACCCCTGGGGCTGTCCTTGCCCTGAGGTCTGACGGTGGCCGGGAGCGGCCTGAGGCCCTGGCTTGAGAGAGTGGAGTTCTCAGTCAACCACATATTAGCTCTGAGACCGTGGGCAAGTGCTCTAGCTTCTCTAGACCTTGCTTTCTCCTTCCACATAAAATTAGGAGGCCAGGACCTATGCTTAAATTTTGATACTGAGGGTTAAAAGAGATAAGGTGTGTGAAGCACTCAGCACAGTACCTGGCAGCCTAGTAAGCACCCAAGAAATAAGCCAAAGGATGGGACCAGCAGATGTTGACCGAATGCGAGGAAGTTACTGAGCAGCAGGAGGGCCCAACTGGGGCCCAGCCTTAAGCCAAAGGAACAAAGAATTACTTGTGAGAGACTCAGGCATCCGTCAGCAGATCCGGCACACACACACACACACACACACACCCTGCTCCCCCTCCCCACAGGATCCAGTGCCCCCCTCCACTCCCTGTGACATCCAGGCCAAGGGCAGGCGTGGGAGGCTTAGTCATCAGATCATGAGGTTTCAGAAGTGCACCTGAGTCCTGTGGGTCTCTTCTGGGGGCTGGGGGACTTCTAGAGCATCCTGTGGTCCAACCCTCCGCCTGCCCTGGAGGCCGGCTTCAGGCTTCGGGCCCGTGGTGGCCCCTGCTTCATGCGCCGCTGTGCCCACAGGACCGGGGCTTCTGCGTGGAGGTGAACACAGCCTTTGAGGACTTCGCCCACGTCATAAGCTTTGACAAGAGGGCGGCTGCGCTGGACGCAGGCAACATCAAGCTGACCTTCAATAGTGTGAGGGGCCGGGCGGGGCGGGGCTGTAGCCAGGGCTCCATTCTCCAGCTCATCCCCATGTCTTGTTCCATTCCTTCTCACTCGCTGCCCCAATGTGACTGCACCCGCCCCCCCCGCCTCCGTTTAGGGGGTGGCGGCAGGAGCCCAGACCCCAGCTTCCCATGTCCTGCAGTATGCCTGAGTGGGGCTTGGGCACCCACCCTCCTGGGTGACCCTGCTCCGCCTCCTTTCTGTCCTCAGTTGCTGGAGAAAGCAGAGGCGCGGGAGCGAGAGCGGGAGAAGGAGGAGGCGCGAAGGATGCGGCGCAGGGAAGCTGCCTTCCGAAGCATGCTGAGGCAGGCCGTGCCTGCCCTGGAGCTGGGCACTGCCTGGGAAGAGGTCAGGGCCGCAGCCTGGCACCAAACACCACCCCCTCGGTCCTGAGGGCAGCGGTGCTTCTCCACCACTGGGGGCCCACCCCGGTCATAGCACAGCTCGCGGGCAGCTTCGGCTCCCTTCCTTCCTCTGCCCCAGCCCTGCGCTCCTGGCGGTGTCCGCGCCTTGCCGGGGCTGGTCTGATCAGCAGTGCTCTCCCGTTCAAGGTCCGTGAGCGCTTTGTGTGCGACTCAGCCTTTGAGCAGATCACCCTGGAGTCGGAGCGGATCCGGCTCTTCCGGGAGTTCCTGCAGGTACTGGAGGTGAGGCAGAGCTTCCGATCCTCTGCATCTGTCCCGCGCTCATGAACGCCCAGTCCGGCTCAGCAGAGACCCCAGTGGCCTCCTACCCCTGGGGCTGTCCTTGCCCTGAGGTCTGACGGTGGCCGGGAGCGGCCTGAGGCCCTGGCTTGAGAGGAGGCAAAACCTGGATTTTCGGGTGCAGGGTGCTTCCTGTGGCTAGCCCTGGTGTCTTCCTCACCCCTCCCTCTGCCTCTGCCAGACTGAATGCCAGCACCTCCACACCAAAGGCCGAAAACACGGCAGAAAGGGCAAGAAGCACCATCGAAAGCGTTCCCACTCGCCCTCAGTGAGTTGGTGGGCAGAAGGGCTGGGGGCAGGGCGGGGGGGAGGCTGGATTGTCTTGGGGAAATAGGAACCATTTTTCTTGTTTTTTTCCCCTGCATCGCCTCCCCTTGGAGCGAGATTTGAAAATCCCTTTGGCCCTGGATCCTCCTCTCTGTCCCCAGTTCCCAGACTTGAGGGCTTCTGGAGCCCAGAGAACCTGTGCGCTGACATGTATCTGCTGATCTGCCCAGGGCTCTGAGTCGGAAGAAGAGGAGCTGCCCCCGCCGCCTCTCCGACCCCCCAAGCGGAGAAGGCGGAACCCCTCGGAGTCAGGCTCTGAGCCCTCTTCCTCCCTTGATTCGGTTGAAAGTGGGGGTGCTGCCCTTGGAGGACGGGGCTCCCCATCTTCTCGCCTTCTCCTTGGATCAGGTGAGCGGTTGGGAGTTGGAGTAGTTGACTCCGACGAGAGGAGGCAGAGCCCTGAGGGTGGAGCTGCTCGGGAGGTCTGCACCCATCAGAGTGGGAAGAACTTTCTGCCCAGCCCTGGCAGGAACTGGGAGAAGGAAGGAAAACTGCACTGACAGAGACCTCCTCAGCTAGCTCCCTGTCTAAAGAATGAGGACTATGGCAGAGAAAGGAATGAGCCCGCCCTCCTCCCATGGGACTTAACTGGGCATTTTCTATCTCCAGATCATGGCCTTCGGAAAGCCAAGAAACCAAAAAAGAAAACTAAGAAGAGAAGACACAAGTCGGTGCGTAGAGAGGGGGCTTCTACCCAGGGCCCTGCTATGTTGAGAGAGTGCTTCAGCCGCCTCCCGGGCTGTCCTTCACAGGTGGGCTCTGGGCTCTTACAGAACAGTCCTGAGAGCGAGACAGACCCTGAGGAGAAAGCTGGCAAGGAGAGTGATGAGAAAGAGCCAGAACAGGACAAGGACAGGGAGCTCCGGCGGGCAGAACTCCTGAACCGCTCCCCAGGTTTTGGAATCAAGAAGGAGAAGGTGAGAGGCAGGCACCTGATCCCCAGCGCAGTCGGCACCCTCCGCAGGCCTCCGTGGCCCTCGGGGGAGGCTGGGGGTGAGCCGTGCCTCTGCTCCACCAGACGGGCTGGGACACGTCGGAAAGTGAGCTGAGCGAGGGTGAGCTGGAAAGGCGGCGGCGGACGCTCCTGCAGCAGCTGGACGACCACCAGTGACCCGACGAGCCGCTCTGCCTCGGGTCTGTGTGAGGCCGTGGATCCTAGGTCACCCTCACTATCTGCACTAGACTCCTTTCTCAGTCGGGTCCGTGTCCACTTTTCCTCAAGTAGCCCCGCCCCCAGCACCCCGCAGCTGGCACCTCCCCAGGTTGCTCGTGGTGTTCGAGGGTCCTCCACTTCCCAGGCAACTAGTGCAGTCCTTGCCCTCAGCCCCAAACCAGAGACCAGGATGCCACGTGGAGCGGGAGGTGCCAGTAGAGAAAATGTGAGAAGGGGCCTCTAGGGAGAATGACAGGTTGGTGACAGGCGGGGTCCTTCCCCTCTAGCACCAGTGCCTGTTCCAGCCTGCCTGGGCCCTCGGGCTCCACCACTCCTTCCTTCAGCCCCGGGACCCAGTGTATGTGTGTTTTGTTTTGTTTTGTTTTTGTTTTTTAAATAATATTTATAACATGGCTGGTGGCTCTTATATCTTCTCCGTATCCTGCTGGGGCACGCTGGGGGCTGGGCTGGGGCACGCGTGGCCGGGAGAGAGCACTAGTGTCTTGTGGCAGGCCAGCCTCCCTTCGTGTGGTTGGAGCCCACCCAGCCCGGTTTGCCCTCCCCCAAGCAGACGGCGGCTCCATGTGGCCTCCTTTCTGTCCCCATGGTTCGGGTCAGGCCAAACGGCCACCCTAGTCCTCCCCCAAACCCCGGAAAGAGGAGACAGAGTCAGGCCTGGTGCTTCAAGCCTTTGTTGGGAGAGGGAAGGTCTGGGATTTATGTACACGAGAGAAGGAAGGTGGTACATGTACAGAAAGAAGTGGGTCCCTGCATTCCGCTGCAGGGGCTGAGGAGAAACCGGCAGGAGACTGAGAAAATAGTCACCTGAGACCACCGTGCCCCCGTCTCCTGCTAAAAAAGCCCCTAGCCGTGGAAAGGAGGTGAGGGTGCTGATGACACACCCTTTCTCTAGCGATCCAGGGAGAACCTCTACTCCTCTGCCCCCCCAACAACAGTCAGCCTAGAGTGGAAAGGGCCAAAGGCAGTAAGCGTGGCATCTCTCCTCTACCCTTATCACCAGGGCACAGCTGGGTGGGGACTAGGCTTAGGTGGGCCTTGCTCCTGGTAAAAGGCGATCTGAGACTGGTAGGGTTCTGGGGCCCCCTGAGTCTGGATACTTCCAGACCACAGCTGATCATGGGCCTGCGAAAGGGAAGGGAGAAAAAAATAGAGAAGGGATAACTGCTTTCTCCGCTTGTCCCTCTGGCCTAGTGACAGAGGAGGCTGTGGGCCCCTGTATAGGCTAAAGCTAGAAATGATTTTTCCCAGCTCTGGTCTGACCCTTGGTGACCTTTCAGTCAGGAAATGAAGTTGAAGACCCTGGGGTCAAAGTGCAGTCCTGGAGGCACCAGGGAAGTGCCAGGCCCCAAAAGACCTAGGGCCCCCAGTGGCGTCAGGCACGTACAGCTTTGAGAGCTGGGGTGGACACTGGGTCGAGAGCAGCATAGCCCTGCGCTGCGCCCTCGGCCAGTTCCAGGGCTCCAGGTCCACAGGTTGGAGAGTTGAAGTGCTTCTGCCTTCGGGGGAGGGGGTCTTAGTGGGGGCCTGGAGCCCGAGGGGGGCCACTGGGCGGTGCGGCATTCCTGGCTTGGTGGCGAATGACAAGGGGCTGGTGATGGAGGCCTGTGGGGAAGACAGAGGCCTGTGAACACGCAAGGAGGCTAGGCTGGGCCCACCGTCTGTCGGAACAGCCCCTGAGGAGCAGCCCCACAGGCAGGGCCAAAGAAGAGCCGGTTGTGAGGCCGAGGAAGGAGAAGCTTTAAAAGAGGCTAGAGGGGATGCTCAGGGAGACTGCTGGGGCTCTGCATTTTCAGGGGACCAGGTGGGGGTGACTAGAGGCCACTGGGCAGTGGCAGAGACAAAGTAGACTCAGCAATAGCCAGAAGCTGGGGAGAGATCCCAGGTAGACTGAAAATCAGGAAACTCATCAAGGGACATCGGATGCCCCTGGGCAGAAGCTACTGCCAGAGCTCTTTATGGGGTAGGCGGGGGGAGCGGTGAGGGGACAAGTCACAAAGGATACCTGGGCCCAGGAACGGAGCCTCAGCCTCAGCAATGAGAGTTGGTGGCTGGGTCTTGCCTGCTCTGGAAACTCCCTACCCCTTGGGTCTTAGTAGAAGCCAGGACAGCATTAGTGGGAGATACCACTTCCCTGAAGGCACATGCAAAGGGATAAGGCATGCTTCTCCGAGCATGGGGCATGCAAGTAGAGAAGCATGTGCCCCTATCACTGTGAGGCTGCCAGAGGATGGTTCCAAGTCATGCAGGGGAGGAGGTGCCTGTGGGCCCAGCAGGAGTCCTGGGAGGCGGGCATGCAGAGGGGGCAGCTGTGGTGCCCAGTACCTGTCAAGAGCCCCAGCCTTGGGGGTTAACAGTTTGACTCATCATGGTGGGCTGCATCGCAGAAGAAGCGTGAGCCCCGCTTGGCAGTACGGGCCGTGAAAGGGACACTCTTCAACACTGTGGCCCAGGAAAGAGACACAGTGGTCAGGCCTCATGGGGACGGGGTGGGAGGAGAGCCCAAAGGCGCAGGGTTGGAGTTTGGGAGCTGGGCCTAGCGGCCAGGCCCAAAGGAGAGACAAGGGCCCCACCTGTAATGATGTCCTCAATGGTACCATCCTTCCCTTCATAAACAGGCCGATGCTCCTTGGCCTGGCGCCTCCTCAACTCTGCAATTAGCTCCTGCTGTTGCCACTTGTTCCGCTGAGATGGGGTCTAGGGCCGAGCATTGAAGGGGAAGGGAGTCATCACTAACCTACCACGGGGCTGGTTCCTGCCCGAAGATGCAGTCTGAGGATGCCCTTAATTGTACACAGCAGCCCACCCCTGATCATTGCCTAGGAATCCCCTCCCGAAGCCCCTCTCCCCATCCCTTTGGACTCCAGCCTCGGACCCTCTGGGTGGTCTCTCGGTTCCAGTTTTCCCTCTCTCGAGTTCTCTCTCCACCCCCTCCTAATCCTCTCCTCCAGGCCCCAGCTCTTGGTCCCACCCACCTTGGCATCCAGTTTCTTGGCTTCCTGAGCCAGCTGCTTCTCCCGCATTACCTCCTCCTGCTTCTTTCTAGCTTCGTTCTCTTGTTCTGCTTCCTAAGAACCATGGGGGGGAGGGGGCAGGCAGTGAGGCTCACACAGGCTGTGAGGGGAGGGGCTGACACCGAGGGTGGAGAATGGGTGGTAGTGGGACCAGCAACCCCAGGTGGCCACCCTCTGGAGGGGCACTTCCTGCCCTGAACAATGACAGGAAGGGCCTGGGCCCCCACCCTGCCCACCAGTTCACAGCTGAGAGGCCTGTGGCCAGCTTCCATCGCTCCCTCCCAGGCCTCCGAGGAGGAGACAGAAAAGGCCCAGACTTGGAGCCCAGCCCTCCCTCTCCCTACCAGTTTTCTCTCAGCCAGACTGCTTTTTAAAAGCCTCTCTTCCGCTCACCTTGTAAGAACGAATGAATCGGACAAATACTGGGAAGAATACAGAAGGGGGTGTGGTCTTGGGACTCTCGCCGAAGTAGCGCACAACTGCATTATAGGCCTCCTGGGGAAGGGGTGGACAGAAGGGCTCAGTCTGGCGGAGAAGGACAAGCCTGGCTCTCCAGCAGGTACAGGACGCCCACAGAAAACAGGGTTTGGGGCCAAAGGAGGAAAACCAGCAGCCCCCAGCCCCTGTGGGATGGAAAAGAACCTGGGGCTCCCAACGCTCCTTAGAGTATGTCCCCAGAGGCGGCTGCTGGCCATCCCCAAAGCCCCCTCTCCCCCACGTACAGCCAGCCAACCATGCGGTAAAGGTTCTTCAGTCCAGGGGTGCCTGGGTGGCACAGTCAGTTAAGCTCTGATCATGATGTCAGGGTCGTGATCTCGGGGTCATGATCTCAGGGTCTACTTAAGACTCTCTCTCCCCCTCTTCCTCTGCCCCTCCTCCCTGCATGTGCTTGCTTTCTCTCTCTCTCTCTCTCTCTCTCTCTCTCTCTAATAAATAATTCTTAAAGTCCTTTGGTCCAAGAACCAGAACAAAGCCCATCTAGAGGGACACAGTACCTTGGCCCTGGCTGTCCCCAGCTGCCTCCACCCTTTGCCCACCTCAGCCGTCTTGGCATCACGCTGCAGCTTGTCCAGTTTGCCTTCATTGGTGCTGAGAAAGTTCCGAAGGACGCTGTTGTCATGTATGCCGCATTCCCGCCGAATCAGCTCCATGCCCCGGCCCAGCTCCTTCACGTCTAGCAGCACGTTCTCCAGGGACACTGTGGTCACCAGATCCTGGGCTAAGGTCTGCTCAGTGACCGACATGCCCCCCTCCCGGCCCGGGGCCACACAGAACTTGGCCTCCCCCGCAGCAGGGGCTCCCTCAGGTTCTCGTGCCCCTGTTTCCTGAGCCATCGGTGGACACAGAGGACACACGCTAACGGGGCCCTCACAGAGGTAAGGAAAAGGAATGGGGGCTGTGAGCTCATGACCCCAAAGTGCAAGGCGGCACAGGAAGGCAAGCCAGAGAGACTGCTGGGCTCCAAAATGGAGCTGCCTCAGGCCTGGGGCACAAATGTCAGCTGCCTTATGTCTGTGGGGGCTTCAGTGGTTTTTCTAGGCCCTTCACATGCATCACAGAGACACAGAATCTCCAGGGCCACCCAGGGAGTTGGGAGTGAAGAGCCACTGGTGCTCACTGCCTGCTCCCATGGCACCCCGGTGGGAAGGGCTGGGCTAGGCGGGCGCCTGCAGGAAGGCTCCCCCTGGGGTAGCCCCTACCCATGGCCCCAGCGGAAAGCTTTGAAGTGGCCAGAAAGGAGGTAACAAAAGCCAGAAGCCAAGGGACCCAAGTGTTCCCTCTCCCAAGCTTCCTGGGATTGTCCTGGGCTACACATGAGGGCAGGCTCGCCGGGCCAGGCTCCCTCGGCCAGGCTCCCTCACCTGCTGCGGCCTTCTCCACGAAATGTAGCTCATGCCAGAAGTTGGCCAGGTCTGGGTATTTCTCCTTTACCGTCAAGGCGATGAAATGCAGCAGTGTCATCTTCCTGTCGGTGGACTTGGTGTCCAGCAGCTGGCAGGGGGGTGGGTGGGGAGGGCACGGGGTGGTGAGAGAGAGCGGAACTCCATGGCTCCTCAGGCTTCCCGGCCCCGGGTCGCCCCCACTGTCTTACCAGATCCAGGCTCTGGAGCTTGAAGCCGTACACAGCTCCTCGCTTGCTGCTGTTCATATAGTTCCCCAGTGCAAGTATGATCTGTCCAAAAGATGCACGGGAGGAGGTCAGGCCAGGCCCTGCGGGCTCCTTCCTCCACCCAGGCCCAGGACCACAGGTGCCTGCCTCCACAACCTCTCCCCACCTCCAACATCTGCTTCAGCTTCTGTGAGGACTTGACAGAGGCAGAGGCTGCAATGATGGCGTTGAGTTGCTGGAAGGCAAGATGAAGAGCTGTGTCGGCCCAGGCC